AGGACATATGTATAATTAGTTTGCTCCAGCCCTAACTATATTTGCATAAAGGTACGACAAATAAGGTTTCAAATACTTTATTAATAATGCACAAACATACTTACATTAAAACTCTACAGTTATGCGCATGTTGCTACGTTCGTGATTATTCTAAAGATTAACATCCAAGGAACATTGTGATGTTTTTTTTTTTGTTTTGATGACGTGCATTTTATGTCTAACAAATAGCATACGGATGCGAATGTTACAAGTTGATTTATTCAAATGATATAAATTGAATGCAATGCATAATAATTATTATAATCATACAAAGTACATATAACTCGGAAAAGTAACATTGGTACTTGCCAGGTTGAAAATCCACAACCTCATGCATGAGGCGGGCTCCTTAACCTCCGGGCCACCACGACACTATAGTATATTTCAGTTAATTCACACGAGTAAGTTGTTATTTTCAATTAAAAAGTGCTATGATCTTAGGCTTTTAAAAACTATACAGCAAATAATAATAAATCGTTCCTTTTCCCGTGTCTATTCAATTAGCATAAAAATAACATTTGTAACGAAAGAACATTTCTCGTTGACTTAATAAAGAGTTAAGTATCCTATGTAATTCTGATCACATACCACATTATTTTTTAATAAGATTGAATGGTCTTTGTTTCAATAACCATATAAGTTCTTATGATGTATTTCCTTATGTGACCTGTGAAGGAAGTGCAGAGAATTCCATCACAGTAGGTACCCATAGAATAACCATTTTACCATCGTCATGCATTGTAATCATCTATTTATTTGAATCTAAATGGTACATTACTGCGTCGAATAAGTTTAACAAGTATAGGTTATAAATAGCATCAGTGGAATGGTCATATAGCATAGCAAAATTTCTTGGCGAAAAATAAATTATTTTAATTTATTATTAAATCCTTTTTTATTAAATCCTTTATATATATAAGCAAAAAGTTTACAATATATAAACCCACCAAACTGTTAAGACAGTTTGACGGCGGGAATAGCGCTCGTTATTACCTGTGCATACACATATATAAAATGTTAAAAAAATCGAAACAAATCGGGACTTATACACTAATCACAAACAAAACTTAATAGTAATTAAATTAAACTCAAAGAACGAAGAAGTTACCTGCGTGCATTAGCTAACATTTTTGGAGAACTTTGTATTTAACATTTGTAGCAATTTCTTTTTCAGAGAATGTCTGCTTAGTTTGGTGTCAATTTGCCTCAACCAGTCATTATTGTTGTACAACATGGGGATCAAATACTTGTTGGTTCTTGACCCGTATTAGTTTTTTCATTCATTTTCATTTGTGTTTATTCCTTTTCTATTTCTTTTTGTGAGTTGTGAGTGAGACATACTTAATTTATCGAAAATAACAACGTCGCCGCGATACGCACGCAGCCCATGAATAAGCCCGTTGTGACTCGATACTAGTTGAGCCTTTTTCGTTTGATTCGCGTGAATAAGTCGTTTTTTTCAATAAAATAATATAAAGAGGTATTTGTAAGTTTGTATTTAGGGGGTAATCTTTGGAACCGTCGGATTGCCAAAATTCTTTAACTGATAGGTAGCTACAATGTTCCTGAGTGCTATAGGCTATACAACATCACGCTACGATTAAATGGAGCCGAGCAGCGGGTAAAACCGCCCGAGAGTAGCTATTTGTTTTCAATCAATTGAGTTATCATGTGTTCTCATTTCAATACACAATACAATATTATATAATAATTTACAATATTTACAAGAATTCATTTTCTCAATATAGCTGATCTTTTAAAAAGAAGATGTTATAAAAGAATCAAAGTTTAGTATCTTGTTACGGCTTTATCAAGTCAATCGGTATGTAGTAGACGTCTGTTACGAACAATCGCGTAGGAAATGTATTGTGTAATCGAGTTAATGGTAGAATCGATTATTGGACTCGTCGTTCCGTTGCGTTTTCGCGACGCTGCTCGCGGAAAAGTTTACTACACCATTTGACATAATTTTTATGTAATGCCGAAGTACTTTAGTTGAAGTTTCACGGTTAACGCAATTGTGTTATTGTTATTATTACACATTATTGTATTGTTATTTTGAATTCTGTTTCGGTCATTCCCACAATGATGTTTAGCCCTCGACATTTTGAGCAACCTTGCTTTTTTATACGCAATGTCAGAACTGTTTGTCCGTGGTGGACTAAGCTAATGAGCTAGGGACCTCACATTCAAAAGTCGCCCTTATGGCCACCAGACAAATGCGATACAAAACTCTCTTTATTTTTAAAGTACCGAAATTTTGTAAACAAACTTCATTTTACAGAAAGGATTAAAAATTCAATTAATGAAGGGACCCCAACTTCGTCGATCGTGTAAAAGTTGAATAGATTCCTATACTTAATTACGAATTCCAAAAAGGAGTATAGAGTAAATTTGTCATTCAAAAGGTTTTTGTTGCGGTCGACGGTTGGGCGGTCACTGGCTGACCACAATCTTTGTGAAATGGAATAATTTATGTATTTTAAATTTGGAATTGCGGGGGTGCCGTAACATGCCTATAGTAGATATTTAATTTTAAGTTATATCGAAATGTCTTTCATTGATTTTATACATTTTATAGTGAAGCACAATTATAAAGATGGAACTACGAACGAAATCTTTTACTATTAATGAAGGCATGGACAATAAAATATCATACAAATGTACATCATAATCATAGCCCTTTGAAATCTAGATAGCAATACATTCAGGCCCTTACAAGCCTAGTACAATGTATTTCTAGATATACGAGTAAGTATAGATATGTATATAACTAGTCTCAACAAATGTCATTGTTTAACACGCATATGGAAAGGGTTCACTGCATATTTTGCACGTGAAGAGAACAATGCTGTCTATTATTTGGTAATTAACGCTTACCTTTTAGATTAAGAGTCTATTTATAGTACATACAAGCACACACACATATGTAAAAGTAGGTACACCTACATAAAATTTACTCTAGTGTTTGTCTTATAGGACGGAAACGTATTAAGAATCTGACTCCTAGCTAGATATAACGAATATGATGTTTTTTATAGATTAATATTCAGTTTATATTAAAATTCCCTATACTGCCATGATATTGAAATCTAGAACTTTCTTTGAGCCTTTGAAATGGTAAAAACGGGTCTCGGTTTTATCATCATTAGCTGAAATATATATCTAAGTGTATTACCTATTGAAAAAAGGTCTCTTCGTCTTAATGGGGCGTTTGTCATAATTTTGCTAAGTTTTGCATCTTGGAGCGCCATATAGTACGGCCGTCGTATCTTGGCGAGTCTGAAGTTAGCCGATTAGCTGCGCAGTACACAATTTTGTTCCTAAAAGATCCATTGCGCAGACAAACGGCTAACTTCGAACTCGCCAAGATACGTCGGTCGTATAGTATTTGGCGGTGTCACTAAAGCTTTGGGAGAAACTGATCAAATTGCGCTGGCTGATTGTAGCAGTTCTAGCTTCTAGGAGATACACAAGTACTTAAGAGCTCATAGATTCTTTTTCTTCTTCCGTTTTAAATAAGAAACACGCGGTCTGCACGACGCGTTTTTTGCCCTTTTAAAATGTGTTTAAAGCGACGAAATAAATGAACAGGGGACAGAGGGGTTCCAAGAGTCGTATAATTTTATAAGTTCATATCTCTAGTTCAACAACTTTTTTTCTAGTAGGATACTATAACTACGTCTTTTCGACATTTAACTTTTTAAAAGTGGTAATTTAAGACAAGAAAAGATAACTATAGGTGCGCAAACGCCGGCGTTCTTGGGGTTTGATGATTTAAATAAAACGAATATTTATGCAGAGATAAAAAAGATACACCTAAATTACAAGTCGCTAATGTACGAGTATATACCTAATACAATTTGAACATATGTAACATCCTCTCACTGGTTTATAATGTAGTTTGGTTACTTAGATAATATCTATGAGATGATGATTATAAAATATGTAAAGTAATATTTATTCTTTTCTGCATTGTTTCCATTGTCTTTTTATTTTTTATTTTTTTAATACTGTACTTTTTCAAACAGAGATTTGATTGGGATTTTGTCTATGTAGGTTGTTATTATAAACATCCTGGATAAGTCGTGGTAACAGTAGAGTAGAATTTATTACCTTTACGCTTTCTGGAGGCTAAATGCTTCCCAAATCAGGAGTCCTCAAACTCCAATACCCAATTTTTAAAAGGCTAGTAACGCTCTGGTGTTTTTTTTTGTGTCGCAAATACGTGTATGTGGAGCAGATTGCTGACCATCGTAATATGCGTAAAAATTGCTTGTAAATTTAATTTCATTCGATTTCATTCAGATGACAATGAATTTTTTTTTTTTGTTAAACGTGGTGAACTTTGCCCACACTAGGATTTTCTCCCGTGTCGTGGGTGCGGTTACAAACATACAATTTCACATAAACATGAAACCCAGACCCGGAACAACAATTTGTGGATCACACAAAGAGTTCCGTGCGGGAATCGAACCCGCGACACGTTGCACGACAGCCAGTTGCCCAGCCACCATACCAACCTTGCAGTCAATTAACCGAACCTTTTGAGGTTGTTAAAAAAAATTAAGGTAGCCAAAAATATGGACGAAATTCATTAAAGATTTCTTTCATTACTACTTTAGACTACAAACTTAGTTATAAATACATACTACAGACAGGCTAAAATTGAATGTTAAGTACTCATTTTGCACGAGGCATTTCTTGTTTCTCTTTCTACCTATCTTCTATTTGAATTTGGAATAGGTATAATCGTTTTTAAGCGGGAAAGTATAACAAAGCGTTCCGGCCGGATTTATAAATTATTATTTTTTTATTATTATTTACTCACATAAATTTGTTTATGTTAAGTTAAAGACGTCTATGTCGACAATATTTTCATATCAAAACGCAAAAAAAGTAATTCAATTGTTGAGTTCTACTGTTTAAAATAACCTGATTTAATATTAAATTTCTTTTACCTGCTTTACAGAGTACTGATGGCACAAATAACAAAAATAGACCCGCATAAACGCTGCCCAAACTATTTAATTTTCGACACGCACTGATAAAACATGCCACTGTTCTTTGAACACACGTATTTTTGCTGGTTTCCCGCAAATTTAAATTGTTTACCACCATTTTAGTTTTAATTTAAATAGCACACGTAATATTAAAGTCACATCACAGATTATAAATAGGTATTGACAAAAATGTACTGCCACGAATAGAGTTTTATGTTAAAAATGTCTATTTGAATAAAAAATATTACTTAAGACTTAAAAAGAAAAAAGGAATGTAACCTATTTATTCTTTAAAAATATACTCGACACAAACATTTTTTTAAAAATATGACAAAAACTTTTTAAAGTCTGTTAGTGTTCGTAAATAATTCCGTTTTTAAATCTCGCGCTCCAAAAGCGCGGGAAGACGCGCGCGGATCATGCGCGGTGTGCGCTACAATGATCTGTCATTTTTTTCACCGGGCACAGACCTCCCGCTATAATGCCTTCGGATTCAAACCAAACGATCTAAAGTACGTAAGTGTATCATAGCGATCGTGACCAATTTTCTGGTACATATACGGAACTTGTAATTTACGGAAATAAAAGATGTGTAGGTACTTACTATTAGGTTGTTTTGAATATAAAACTGGAAAGTTTTTTTTATAAATACTTTCACTTTCATTGTTTTGAAACGGTTATCGACATAATAATGGTCCTATAAAAAGTACATATTGCACAAACGAAATATTGAAATATAGTGACTTCAAAAGTTATTTAAAATGAGGTTTAAGCGGTTAATGACTCGAGACTTGACATATACAATAATATTATTAATTAACTGTTGTATATTTTTTCTAAGAACTGGATTCATATAGATCCGTAAATAGCTTAAGGATTTATGAACCTGATCGGGTCAATGCTCCAAGTAATAAATTAGACGACATCAATATTTTTAATTCTCCGTTTCTTTTGACAATAAATCTATCTGCGTCAATTCTCTATTGATTTTTAATTAGTTACCTACATGATAAAGCTCTTAAACATACCTACATGTTTTATAGAAATAAATTCTATATTATTTAGCGGAAAATTAATTGATTTAGTTGACACCTTTCTTATTTTCATATGGATACTTAGTAGCAGTCTGTTTAAATTTAAGCGGCCTTGTTACAAAACAAGGTTTTACTTTAGTCTAGGACTAAACCATAGAGCCAGTTTTCGTATTTCGAATTGAAGGTAGATGACAATAAGATTCAAAATTCAAAACCCGACTCAATGGTTTAAACCTGGACGAAAGATAAACCTTGTTTTGTAATAAGAGGGTAAGTGTTTTAAATGGCTGGATCACCAGCAAATTATGTTGGTTATACCTGTTGGTTCCCTACCGAGGAATAAAATTTTTTGGTCGCTAGTTAGAATTGCGACTACTCGATTAACGATAGATTACGATAGGAAACTACCCTTTGATCACGACACATTTTAAATTTGGAATAGAACAATCGAATTCGAGTTCGCTTTTCGAGTCCCACCTATTTTTATTTTTTACTCTTCTTTATCCCAATGGGCTTTGAAAATAAATATAATTCAATGTTCTATAACTAATAGTGGCTTTTAAAATTAAATCGTACACCACTTACAAAAATATTTTGCGGTTTCTCAATCACTATCATTGTACAAATACAATAATACATAACTGTACTACACTTGTATCGATAAATTACCGTTGAAAGCGCCATTATCTGAAGATTAATTTATTTACTGCGGTTTAATGGAACGCGCCGGAAATTTAATAATAATTACCAATAATAATAAATCGATATTCAACGTTTGAGAACACTTAAAAATTATGTCGTGCATAAAAAATTTATTGTTGTCGCCATGTTTGAGGTTGGAAGACGTCAAAAGTAAGAAGATGAATGAAATTTGAATTTTTAAGTTAAGAATAATATCTTATTATTTATGTAAGTTTTTTTTATCTTTAGTCTTCTTACATTTTATTTTTAAATATTACGTTTGGTATATTTGTGAGATAACATTAAAAACATATTTTTAATGGTAAATGGGATTATTACACCTATTCTGCATTTTAATAGGCGTATGGAGTTTTGAACTTGGTTTTTAATAATTAATATTTTTCTTTTGTTAATCTTAACCTTATTTTACAGAAATGCAGCTGGCCACCAAAGTTTTCCTGACATTGCTTATTTTACAATCAGCTTTAATGACGACGATGTGTCTTCCTATTCGTCGTAGTAATCCAAATTGTAATACGGGACCAGACAAAGGTGGCAAGAAGATTATCACATTTCCAGTTTATTATCCAGCGTTCTACTACCCCGCGTTTTATTTTGCACCAGTAATATTATTCGGTTAAATAAATAAATTTGAATTTAGAAATTAGAATTGTACTTAGGACCTTCTTTTGTGTTGAATGAAGAATAGGTATGTGGTTTTTTGTCAGTTTACTTGTTTTATTGGTAATTTTAATACATTACCTGGTCCCAATAATTTTTATTAAACTAATATACAGACCAGGGGTGGGTTAACTATCCTTTTTGGTGTAACTATTATCTTTAGACACCATAGTTATTAATTTATCATGCGGTTATGCTGTTCTAGTTTTTAATGAATACGGATTTGAAATTGTAAATAGAATACGGGCAGTAATTTTTTTTTGCCCACCATGTGGCGTTAATCTACCAAGAGTTCAGTTTGACCAATCTCTGTAGCTGCTTTATAATGTTTTGTGACACAAGCTAATAGGGTAAACTCGTCGCACTTTTCCAAAACAAAAAAACTAAAGTGTGTGCTAAATTATCTATGAATTTTGTTTGAAATACCATGTTGTGATATAAAATTGCATATTTATTTTTTTAGAGTTACACAAAGAACAGCGAATTTCGATGAAGCGATAGTTTTGAAGTATTTCATGGTTTTATTCGTTGAAATAATTTCTTTTTGAGTAAAGGAAACTACGAAATTCCCAGCTGTACTAAAAGATGACAGGTCCGGACTGGCGGTGGTTGAGCAATAAAACTATAGGCATTAAAAAGTTTAACTAAATATTTAAATATTAAATTAGAAAATATGAAATCAAAGAATTTTCATTTTGAAGAATTACCTTAAATTGTGGGTAGGTTTTTAATTTAATATAATAAATATCAATTTAAAATTGTTGCAGTTTCTATTTAAATATATAAATCTATAAATAAATACAATGTTTCTAGCTGTTACGTATTTTATTGATATTAGATTTTCAATGCCTCGCTATAAAATGAATATATATAGTTGATAAGGTTATGTATACAAATTGAATGTGAAATAATGTGACAGGTAAAAAGTATTTCCAAATTCAAATATTTTCATTTGTAGATCACAGGTTTACTTATGTTTAATCCTTTATTAAATCACTTAAACATCGGTACAGATGCTATCATAGTATTTAGTTTAATTTTTCAAATATTGACGTTTAAGCGAAACCATAAGATTAAATGTTTTTTAAAACAATCTATATCCACATAGGTAATGATATAACCTGATTTATTTTAATGTAGGTTAACAAGAATGGGTCGGCTCGACCGGGATGATACCAGATACCACCGCCTCACAGAAAACCGGTGTGAAACAACTTAATCCATCCCCTCTCCCAACCCTCCGAAATCCTAATCTCCAAAAGGCCGGCGAATCACCCTACTAATGTTGCGGGGGCCCATGGGCAGCGCCGACTGCTTACCATCAGGTAACATTAAAGCTGATCCAATGATCCTTGCTTGGCGGACTTATTTGTGATGGTGAAAGACTAGTGATCCAGTGATAATCGGTGCGATGGTTGATCGGTGGTTTCCCTGATAACCCAGTTACGAATCTTTAAATATAATTGTGTAAATGCCTTAATATTACCACTTATGTATGTATATCTTAAACCAAATAAAACTTGTAAAACTGGACTACATCCACTTGTGTGAACTATTACATAAACTTTTAACATTACTTGTTTCATAACAAGATAATTCTTAAGATGTGAGACAAAGATATTTTTTTTACTTTTTACTTATCATAATGTTTAAGAAATTAAAAAAAAGTAAGTATTTAGTTAGCTCTGTATACATACTCGTAGTTATAAAAAAAGATTAAGACAAGAATTTTACCTTCACTTCACGGTAAAAGGTGGTTGTGGATCCCAACGTTAGCCCCTGTTAATCTTATTACATGGGATTCTTAAATATTAAATACGGTATGTTTGTGTTCATTGTGTATGTTGTAGTGGAGTTTGAGGTTAAGCCACCTTTGCATGGGTTAGAGTACAGGTTCGAAATCTTGTAAGTAATAAATTGGCTTTTTTCAAGTTTATTAAAGCGCTCCTGACAAACGGCAAAGGAAAATATCGTGGTGATGTTTGAGTTGGCTAAATCATGAATTTTATTGTCTTACCAAGTCGTATCGTCGTATTGTCTTTCCTTCTCTTGCTCCAGGTCGGGGTACCTCATTGCGCTTGCCTTAGAACCTCGACTAAACATAAGTTCTGTAGGGCTTCATTTGTGGATGTCTATTGGCTCTTTGTATATCCTTAAAATATTAGAAATATGCCTATCCAATACTTTAAATGTATCTATTTTAGTACATAGACTATACCTGCATAAGAACTTCAATATTATTATGGAGTAAAGAAAAAAATATATACCTAACCTTTTTATCAAAAAGCTTCAAATTCTAAAAGTAAGCGTGTAGGCAACATTGAATGTACGAGTATAACAAAGAACCTTCCAAGTTTAAAAAGAGAAAAGTAAAGGTTAAAATTGGATCTCTATGGTTACATGGTAATCAATCATGGATTCCGTCGCTGACCCATTTCTGGGATCAGGTTTGTAACTAAAGCAAAACTTTGCAGTGCAAACTGTTTGCAGGACGATGATGGGTGGTCAAGGACCCTATTTCTGAGAAGAAGGTTGATGTAGATATGATCATATTTCTTTATGTATCGATTACCGTGAAAATTTTATTTCTAATTGTATAATAAGTACACCTTGAGCATATGAACAATTATCATAATATCTTGAACCATCTATAATTGGTTACAAACAAGTTGTTTAAGTGAAAACAAATTGACTGCACAGTTGACGCGGTGGTTGGGCAAGCGCCGTGATCATCGTTTACGTCACCGCGGCCTGGGCCC